GTAGAGGTGAGGTCTCGCCAAGTTGCCCAGGCGGGTCTCGAACCCTCAGGCTCAGGCAATCCACTCACCTCAGCCTCCCAAAGCGCTGGGATTATAGACTGAGCCACGGAGCCCGTCTGACCAGATGGCATTTAAGGTCCCTTCTCAACTTTGAATTCTAGGAGAGTACTGCCTACATTTAATCATGTGCGTCATCACTTATTTGAGAAAGCGTTACACAAGAAAATATATCCCCAAGACATAATAGAAAAATCATTCCTAGAAATACCAAAAAAAAAATTTTTTTTTTTTTTTTTTGAGTTTGAGTCTCACTCAGTCGCCCAGACAGGAGTACAGTGGCTGCTCCCGGCCACCGCAGCCTTCCAAGTAGCTGCAACTACAGGCATGCGCTACCACGCCCGGCTAATTTTTTTTTTTTTTTTTATTATAGAGGTGAGGTCTCACCAAGTTGCCCTGGCGGGTCTCGAACCCGTGGGCTCAAGCAATTCACTCACCTCGGCCTCCCAAAGCGTGGGATTACAGGCTGAGCCACCGAGCCCGGCCCAACAAAAAATTTTTTAAACACAATTCATTGAAAAGACCTTTCCCCCTTAATAATACATTAATGCTTACCCTGACTGCTTCCCACTTAACACAGTGCCTAAGCTGTTGGTGATTGCTAGTGGCAGGTGAGATGGGAGACGTTTCAGCAGCCAGGGCGGTTATTCTTACGTTTTAGGGTATAGCAGAATCACAGATGGCTAGACCCACCCTAAGGTTTCGATTCAGTAAGTGTGAAGTAGGGCCAATAATTTGCACTTCTATCAAGTACCCAGGTGATGCTGATGCATACTGGTCTCAGGCCCATGATTTGACAACCACTCAGTCGATTTTGGAGTGCATAAAAGGCCTTCCCAGGTAGCCAGGTAGTGGGTCTCATATTGTTCCTCTAGCTCTTTGTGTACTTTTTGCCCTCTCACTTTCAGGGAGAGAACTTTGGTAAAAATTGCAGTCTGTACACTTTTAATAGCATTAAATTGACCTCCCTATTTGTTTATGGCACTGAGAGAGTCCATTTCCCTTTCTTTCTCTAAAGAAAGTCCAGTAAATAAAAGGCAAGCAGTAGTGGGGGGGGGAGGGCTAGATAAAAGGAAAAGGTAGATTGCAAAAAAAATCATAATAGTAACACACAATGTTTGAAAAACTTGGAACCAGAAGGACTGTAGACTTCCACCCCGAGTTTCATGGAGCCACATAGTGATAAGTTAGGGGCCAAGAGGCGTGGGTATAGAATCTGTTGGTATTTAAGGAAAGTCACACATATCCCTCTCCCTCCAAAAAGGTTTCAGTTGACTCAGTCAGCTGAAATTAGTTGTCAGTCTCTGATTTGCCCACCCAACCAAAGAGACTGGTTTTGTAGCACTATGGCGTTTTGATAAGCTCGCCAATGTTCTGGCTTTGAAGTAGGCGTCATATCTTTATTTCTGCTCCATGTTTACTTAGAAGCAGTTTCTTATTTGATGTGGTCCTTATATTTTTGCTTTGATATTTATTATATTTCCTGCTTCTAAACTTGATATCATGAGGTATTTATTTTTATACCAGGCAAGAGATTCTTTAACAATGATTAATGTTACAGATACACTGTTAGAGCCTCTTTCCATTGAAGTTACTGAGAAAGACTTTAGGAGAAAACTAATTTGCCATTTGTACATAAGAGAAATTCACAAGAGATTATAATCTTTAAGACTTAGGCTGTGACCATATTGTGGTCAAAAAGTAAATCTGAATTAACCAGGTATTCTCATTTGTATTTTTCAGGTATTTTTCTATGTTGTCTTCTAAATATACCATATTTATGGTTGAGTCCATTATGTATTACTGCCCCTCTCCTCCTCACTTTACCTCTCTCTCTTCTCTTTTTCGCTTGCATGCATACACACACATACAGAACACTGAAAAGAGTCTCATGATGTTACTTTACTTATCCCTTAAGAACCCAAGGTCAACTTGGATACTCCACTTTATTATACTAGTGTCCTATGGAAACACCCAGGACCTTAGTTCCAGAAAACTTATTGATTGTTTCTAGAGGGTGTGTCATTATGTTTCTTGACCTCAAGCATTTTCTAGGCAGTTCTTGTACATAAGCAAAAATGGGAAAAGAAAAAAAAAAGAATGCCCAAGTGAAACAGCAACATTGGAAAACACCTATCCTGGTCTTAGGTTATAATGAGGGAGCATGATTAATGTTGGCTTAGATTTTTACAATAAAAAGTTCTGGGAAGCCTCATGTTTCAGATGTAAGTGCTCATTTGTGTTTATTTCTTTATCTACTTGTGACAGAAAGACAGACAGATACAGACACACACAGAGAAAATAGGAATGTGTGTGCCTGTGTTGTACTGGCTCCAGAGAAGTTGGTTTAAAAATTCATTTTTTTCCCTCTCTCAGACATAGACACCTATGTAAGTGACTTTGTGACATAGGTTGCCTTTCATTGACAAATGATCTGAGATGCCAAATTTCCCAGCAGAAATTCACTGTATATACAAACATGTTTTCTAACTTGTGAGGCTTTTTTCAGTTTTCAAATTTACCTAAAAACACTCAATTATTTAATTACTGAAAACTCTTTCTTTGGTTTCTCTTTCTTTTCTGCTGTTTTGGTTTTGTTTTTAGAATTCTTCAAAGAACTACTTGAAAATGCAGAGAAATCCCTGAATGATATGTTTGTGAAGACATATGGCCATTTATACATGCAAAATTCGGAGTTATTTAAAGATCTCTTCGTAGAGTTGAAGCGCTACTACGTGGTGGGAAATGTGAACCTGGAAGAAATGCTAAATGACTTCTGGGCACGCCTTCTGGAACGGATGTTCCGCCTGGTGAACTCCCAGTACCACTTTACAGATGAGTATCTGGAATGTGTGAGCAAGTATACCGAGCAGCTGAAGCCCTTTGGAGATGTCCCTCGAAAACTGAAGCTGCAGGTGACTCGTGCATTTGTAGCAGCCCGTACTTTTGCACAAGGCTTAGCCGTTGCAAGAGATGTCGTGAGCAAAGTCTCTGTGGTAAGTACTTTTTGTCCTCTTTGTTGTTTTGTTTCTTTTTATTTATTTTTGAGTCTGGATCTCACTCTGTCCCAGGCTAGAGTGCAGTAGCACAATCACAGCTCACCGCCGCCTCAACCTCCTAGGTTCAGGTAACCCTGACGCCTCAGCCTCCTGAGTAACTGGGACTACAGGTGTGTGCAAATACACTTGGTTATTTTTTTAAAATTTTTTAGAGATGAAGTCTCACTATGTTGCTCAGGCTGGCCTCAAACTCCTGGGCCCAAGCGATCCTCTTGCCTCAGCCCCCCAAAGTGCTTGGATTATAGGCGTGATGCATTGTGCCTGGCTTGTTTTGTTTCATGTTAAAAGAACATTTAGGAAAGGTAGAAAAATAAATCACCAGAATTCCATTGGCTCAATATAGTCTTCTCTTTGTTTCTTACCTCTTCTGCCCCACACTTTGTCCTTACACATGTACATTTTAGAGTTTCTAAACAATACTGTGATCGACATCTTCATTATTATTATTATTATTATCATTATTATTATTAAATCATTATTATTCTTTTCCATGATTTCTTTGGGGATGTGTATTCACTCTGGAATCTTACTTTTAAACTGTGTTTAATACCACCATATTCTTTTTAGCTCTTAGTCTACTTCCACTCTTGAGAAAGAAACATGCACATACACACAGGCTCCACATTGGGTTGTTTTGAGTGACTGTTTAAGCTTACTATTTATAGTCTAGATAAACACTTAATACTCATGAACATATACTTTTTTTATTGTTATAAGGTATATGCAGAACTCTTTAGAAAACAGATATCTATGACAATTATACAAGGACCACACTGTTCTTGACATATAACTTTGTTTATAGGATGACTAGTACATAAAATGAAAACATAATATACAACCAGGAGCTGAGGCAATAAACCTCAATTTCCTCATTTGTAATTTTAAGTGAATTGGACTAGGTAGATTGTGTTCCTTGGAGCTAGCTTAGGAAGTACTTCAGGGGGTCTCTTTGAGGACCAGCAAGAGGAGGAAGTCTTCTATTGAGACTGTGCATCTGTGCCTTTACTTCCTGGTTCTACCAGAGAAGCTTGGTTTCCCCAATTTTATGCAGTTGGGTAGCAAGATTTCAAGGCAGAAAAGTTTCTACTGCCTTTCACTGCCCACTCACCTCCCACAAATGAAATTTGAAAGCTTCTTGAAGGCCCATCCACTCTACCCTTCCATGACTTGATACCAGGAAAGAAACAGAAAGATACTAGGGCAAAATTATCTGTATTCAAGACTGATCTTAGTGCTATTATCTTTAGGCCCTCAAAGGAAAAGCCAAATTGTAGGCCATTGCTAAAAAGCCTGGATATACAGTGAAAGCAGCTTGTGCGTAGGCCATCTGGTTGTTTTGAGGCCTAGAGGAAAGGCCAACATAAAAACTAGACGGCACTACAAACACTAAAACAACCACCTGATTGCCTGTCAGAGTTCATTTACAATTTGGGTGACCATATAACTTATTGTCCAAATCAGGACACTTATTATCTAAGCCAGGAGGTGCTTATTAATTATACACAGACCACAGGTGTCACTAATTGTTAATAAGCAACCAGGACTGTCCGGGGTTGACCAGGATACACAGTCCCCTTAGTTAATGAGAAAACTTACATTCACCAGAGTGAAGATGATGATTCTAAAGAATGAAGTGTTATAAATAATACATGCTCATAGGATTTTTTCACATTAGAATCGGGTGATAACAAGGATTAGTTGATTGGTTGTAGCCATTGTTCTCTGTCTCATCTTCAGGCCATAAACTAGCTGGAAACAATTGGGATGTGGTGCAAAACTCATGGATTCTTTGGCTCAACCCTAAAATGAACTTTAGAATGGCCAGCAAAGTTCTAAAACAAAGTTTATTAAGAAAGAAGGGACAGATAGACATGCCAGAGCTGGCATGGGCAAGCGAAAACTGTGCTTTTTACAATAGGCCTGATATACCTTCACAAGGATTGATATGCTAAGGAGAGTGGAGCCCAGGTAACCATCACTGTGGGGAGATTGACATCTCTCCGCCTCTGATGGGAGGAATGGGCAGTCTTTTCAGGGAGGCCAGACTTTCAATACACAAGTTCATGAGCTCAAAGGAGTCTTATTATCATTTCCATGTCTTTTTGATTCCCGGTTTGGGATCCACATTGAAATCACATTCCAGCTTTTCAGCTACCAACAGGATTCCCGGATGCTTTCTAAAACCTGCCTACAAGAAGTTTATCTATTGATGCCTAACCTGCACTAGCTACCCTGCCTCACTTCTTCGAATATTTTCATTGTTAATTACAAACATTTGTTGGGGGATATGAGGATAGAGTGAGGGCAAGTGGAGAGATGATTGTTGTAATTAAAGGAATAATCTGATTCCTGAACTTCTGCCAACTCCAGTAACCATTATTAATCTTGAAAATACTTATGCCCTAGTCCCTAAAACACTACACAGTTAATCCAGACCAAACTTATTTACATTGCAGCTCCTAATACATTTGCCCTCCTTCAACTATTCTTTGCCTTCATCCTAAGCTGAAGAGGCAGAAAGGCACCGTTGTGTGATTTGAATGTCTACATGTGCATGTGTGTGTATGCTTGTGCCAAAGAGAAAAGCAAAAAGTCTAGAGCCTTTTACTAGTGTTTGAAAAGTACTTTCTTTACATTAATCCTGTCCCCTTCCTTTGAGTCCCAATGTTCATTCTTGGGGAAGGACCAGACAGCTGACACAAACTTGTCTTGGTGTTAGTCTCACCTTGCAAGATTAGAGCCCCTTTAGAGAACTGGGATTCCAGAACCCACCAGCTTAGGGTGGAAGAGGGTGACCAAAACAAGGAAGATAATTCGTTGTAGCTTAGAGGCGTGAGGGCTAGAGATGGCTTACCTTTGATTACATGCTCCATTTCACAGAATAGGGAAAAATAGCAGCTGTGGCTTTCCTGTGCTGCTTTCTTCTGGATGTGATTTTCAGAATTAACTGTGGGAAATCAGTAAGCTTGAATTTGATATCTGGAATTCAGAAACCCTTCTTACAGAATAAAGATATGTGACCTGACATGAAATAGTCACAATCACTCTCCTCTTCCTCCTCTCTTCCTTCTCTTCCATCTTTTTTGGAGACAGGATCTCACTCTGTCTCTCAGGCTGGAGTTATAGTGGTCATCATTGCTCACTGCAGCCTTAAACTCCTGGGCTTAAGTGATTGTCCCGCCTTAGCCTCTGGAGTAGGGGGGGCCTGTGGATGCACACCACCATGCCTGGCTATATTTTGGGTTTTTTTTGTAGAGTTGAGGGTCTTACTATTTTGACCAGGCTGGTCTTGAACTCTGGCCTCAAGTGATCCTCCCTCCTTAGCCTCCCAAACTGCTGGGATTACAGGGACAATCACTTTCTTTCTTTTTTTTTTGTAGTTGGAGTCTCATTCTGTCGCCCAGACTGGAGTGCAGTGGCCGCTCCCGGCCACCGCAGCCTCGACCTGCTGGGCTCCGGCGATCCTTCCGCCTCAGCCTTCCAAGTAGATGGAACTGCAGGCGTGCGCTACCATGCCCGGCTAATTTTTGATTTATTGTAGAGATGAGGTCTCTCCAAGTTGCCCAGGCGGGTCTCGAACCCGCGGGCTCAGGCAATCCACTCACCTCAGCCTCCCAAGGGCGGGGGATTACAGGCTCAGCCACGGAGCCGGCTGACAATCACTTTCTGATGTTGCCTTTGTTATGGATTTTTCTTAAAAGCAAGGAAGAGATTTCTTATCTACCTTAGTAATGTTACATTCCTTGGGAAAGTTACTTCCTAAATATAATCCTAAAGATGTTTTTAGAATTGATCTCTTCTGTATTCATTGTATTCTCATATGTGCCTAAGATATTTGCATAGTTTTATGGGAATACATTGAATACAAACTATATGGCTTAGATACATAGAATAAACATTATCAGTTGTTTAGTTGAAAATAAAGTTTTATGGCTACTTTAAGTATTGTGTTCATAATTGGAAACTTTTTTTTTTAAATGCTTTTGTTTCACTACTGAGCTTCTAAACTTAAGGACTGACTTGAAATCAAACCCTTCAACTAAACTTTGTAATCTAAATTAATAAGACATATGGATATGAAATTAATTTCTAAAGGTGCTGAAACAAGAATTATGTAAAATTCTCTTATTTATGGAATGTGTCTGTATAGAAGCATGCAAGACATACTTGGATACCTGAAAAAGTATTTATTATATTAAGATTTGAAGCATGAGTACCAGTTAAACAGACTTTAAGATACAGTGGTATGGGGAAGATAATAAATGATCTGGCTCCCAAACACATTTCAAATTGAACATGTTGAATAATCCATTCGATTAATTTATAAGATTTGCTACTAGTTTGGGTACCCGAGTACATATATACCCACCTCTTCTAACCCATGCCCAAGTGTACTTTGCAGGTGGAACTAGAATAACCCAAGAAATGAACATTTCCTCTTTTGGTGTTCAATAAAATTAATTGCCTTAAGTCTCAGAAAAGACCTTTTGAAATGGCAAATGTGTTTTCTAATGAAGAGAGCCACCTCACCCACTTCATCTACAAAGGTCTCAAAAGTCAAATATGAAAAGCATCTTGGTCTTGGAACTAATGATTGTTTACTTAACTCAGAAATGTTTCTACTTTCTCTTTATGAGTCAGATGCCCTGCTTTTTTCCATTTGACTTTTGCAACAAAAGGGTTGCATTTATAAGTTGAGCAATGATTTGATTATCACTAAGCCTTGGAAGACTATTAGAATCAGCAAGCTGAAGTTACTTCAAGAAAGGCACTTCTTAGTTGAAGTATACTTGCCTTGCTTTCAGTTTTTCTGGGCCCAAACATTCAGGGATTTTAGCTCATGCCATTGAGCTTTACAATTCAAACTTTACAAAAGTTTCCTTAATTAGTAACAGACAGTTCAAGAATACCCTTGTGCTACATGTCTTTGTATTACT